ACAACAAACCGAGATGGTAGCATAGAGGGTAGAGATGGCAGACTGGAGAGGAGAGGGTGAAATGTTATATATATATCTGACTTGTTTATAAAGAATGACATCAAGTGAGGAGGAACAAGCTCTGCTATCTGCAGGAAGAAATTACACCTGTGGCCAAGCGTAAAGATGGGAGGAGTGGACTGGGCAGGAGTGCCCATCTGTCAGCAGAGAGGTGCTGGGTGAGATGGGGAGGGAAGGGCCATGTCGGATACTGTGCAAATGTAGACGAGAGATGAGGGCCAGAGCATCCTCAATAGAGAGATGGAGTGAGGACCAGAGCATCCTCGATAGACAGAGTGAGGACCAGAACATCCTCAGTAGACAGAGTGAGGACCAGAGCTTCCTCAATAGACAGAGGACCACAGCATCCTCAATAGACAGACAGAGGACCAGAACATCCTCAGTAGACAGAGGACCACAGCATCCTCAATAGGCAGAGGACCAGAGCATCCTCAGTAGACAGAGTGAGGACCAGAGCTTCCTCAATAGACAGAGGACCACAGCATCCTCAATAGGCAGAGGACCAGAGCATCCTCAGTAGACAGAGTGAGGACCAGAGCTTCCTCAATAGACAGAGGACCACAGCATACTCAATAGGCAGAGGACCAGAGCATCCTCAGTAGACAGATGGAGCGAGGACCAGAGCATCCTCGATAGAGTGAGGACCAGAGCTTCCTCAATAGACAGACAGAGGACCAGAGCTTCCTCAATAGACAGAGGACCAGAGCATCCTCAGTAGGCAGAGGACCAGAGCATCCTCAGTAGGCAGAGGACCAGAGCATCCTCAATAGACAGACAGAGGACCAGAGCATCCTCAATAGACAGACAGAAGACCAGAGCTTCCTCAATAGACAGAGGACCAGAGCATCTTCAGTAGACAGAGTGAGGACCAGAGCATCCTCAATAGTCAGACAGAGGACCAGAGCTTCCTCAATAGACAGAGGACCACAGCATCCTCAATAGGCAGATGATCAGAGCATCCTCAATAGACAGAGTGAGGACCAGAGCATCCTCAGTAGACAGAGTGAGAACCAGACCAGAGCATCCTCAATAGACAGACAGAGTGAGGCCCAGAGCATCCTCGATAGACAGACGGAGCGAGGCCTGACAAGCCAAGCGGGAGATGGCCCAGGCTAAGAGTGTGAAGGAAGCAGGCTCAGAGCACACAGCAGCACAAACACTGGCAGGTGTTCTGAGAAGGACACGGCACTTAGAGCTGAAAGAAAGACCAGGAAACCCTTGCACTTATCAAAATGACACCTGTAGTGCCAGGCAAGGTCAAAGGCCTCACAAGATTATCCCTGATAATTCCGTGGGCTTGTGGCATTTCACGCTGAAGGTGGGAGGTCAGACAGGTGAGTGACATGCTTTCTTTATAAAGTGACAGAGGAGAAGCTACAGGGGCTAGAGTAGCTCCCCTGGGGGGGGAGAAAGGGAAGGGAAGTGGAGGATACAGAGGGAACAGGGCAGGAGGAAGAGCCTGAAAGTCTGAGAGCACCCAGTCCACTCACACTCCTGAAGGACGGAGATGATGGCCAGGGGAGCGGTGCCAGGGAAAAGCAGCTATGCAGCCTGGCCACAGACAGGAGAGAGCCATGAGCTACTGAGGGAGTTGTATCATTTGCTGGGTTACAAAGGTCAGGATCATCTCGTAAGCAGTCACTCGGGTCAGGGCAGGGACGGCTTAGGAACGGCACTGACGCGGTTGGCACCTGTAGCAGGCATGATGATTATGAGCAAATACTGAGCCGAGAAGCTAGCTAGCTATGTCATCATGCATGGCTGGCAGGATTGGGCGGGTGCGATGACCCACACACCCTGAGATGGGAAGGATACCCTGGCCACAATCATGAGAGGCTCCTAATCAGAGGGAGGCAGGAGCCTCCAGAAGATACACTACAGAAAGTAGACTTACAAGCCAGCTGCTGTGGGTAGTCAGCCGGCTTCCGAGGCAGGGAGACACCTCTCCCAGAGTTTCAGAGGGAAGGAACCCTTGCAAGCCCATTTCAGACTGGCGGCCTGACCTTCTGAACTGTCAGATAAGCCTGTGCGGATCACTCAGTGTGTGGTAGTTTGTCACAACAGCAGTGAGGATACTAGTACACCTTAGCGACATGGAATCTAGAAAAAAAACCTCCACTGGCAAACTATAAAAATACGCAAGGAGGCCATGGAGATTTCCAACCTTTCTAATAACAAGTTTCACTTTGCTTTGAAACACCAAGTTGTTTCCCAAAACACAGAAGTGCTGGCGCCTGTTTTCCTAGCAGCCGGACACGGGTGGATAAGACAGGAATGCCACGTGGGGATAAAAGGCAGAGCTGGCCTTTAAGCTAGTGACCAGAGTGTGGAACATAGTGAGACTCGCTGTTCAGGGCCAGGTGTACTTCCACAAGTGAGCGGTGTAAGGTTTGCTGTTGCAGGGGGAGCACAGACTGCAGCTGCTGATGTCTTGTCTCACGGCCACTTCCAACAAATAATGAGAATGCTACCCACAGCCGTCGCCGCCTCCTGATGGAGCTGGGCACGGCTGGCTCTCCCTCACTATGTGTGGTGAGGCCGGAGTGTGCAGGGTGCCTGGGGCAGCTTCCTGTGAGAGGGAGGGCTAGGGAGCAGGGGCCTAGACTTTTTGGGTGAAACAGCACAAACTTGGATAAAGACTGATTGGCAGGAAGTGGTGCTGGCACATTCTGGAGAAGCTTTTCTGGCTATAGAGCCTTCAGTTACACAGGGATGCAAATATGAGGGGAGGAGACGGCGAGGGCCGAGGTGAAAGGGAATGTCTGGGGGGGTTACATGTGTGGGCAATGGTGGTGGCAGGAGGGACAGGAAGAAATACTTTCAATATCAACTTCAACAAACCGGGGGGGGGGGACCCAATATTTCAGTGTTCAAATGCAATCAAGAGAGACACTGCAGCGGCAATAGAGAGAAGCTGCCTTTAAATCTGCTGTCAACGGCGTGTATTTACATTCTTTGATTTGTATTCTTGTTTATGTGTTACCCCAGATGGTGAAATGATTTATAAAATATGAGACAACTGACTTGGTCTTATACTAAAAGAAACTTAAAATAGACGGGTAGGTCCGCAGAAATGTGAGTATAAGTAAAATAGGCGCATTTTCCTTAAAGTAATGTACATACGTTTACTTGGTTGAATGTGTATCTGATTTTTCAGGGCTGGAGTGTGTGTGTATGTGTGTGTTTGTGTGTATGCATTTGTGTGTGTGTGTAAGTTTGCAGGTAGCTGTGGTATTTCTTCTAAAACTTGAATATTAGGTTATAAACATCAGCAGTGAACCGCTACTTTAATGTCTTTTGGGGCAGGGCAGTTGGGACAGGGTTTCTCTGTGGATTTGGAGGATGTCCTGGAACTAGCTCTTGTAGACCAGGCTGGTCTCGAACTCACAGAGATTCGCCTGCCTCTGCCTCCTGAGTGCTGGGATTAAAGGCATGCGCCTGGCTACTTTAATGTCTTTAGATAAGTCACCCAGTCAAGAAATTAATCCACTTTGCTCTATTTTTTACACTAGGAGGCCAAAGAACTCCATTCACAGTGGCTGGTGTGAACAACATTATTATAATATTTGCACACTGAAAGGAACACTAACTATCAAGAGTGTCAATATAAAATTGAGTTCAGCTCCCTCTTGGAAGCTGACACAACCTTCTGTCTTTTTGATGGCACTGAAATTTTCAGTTACAAGCATGTTTACTCATCTTAAAACGCAAGTGTCAAGCTGAAGTCACAGCGGATCTTTGAGCACAGGCATCTTCAGTTACTAAGAGATTAAGGCAAAACAGTCCGTTCATTCTTCCCCTCACTCGGGGTTAGACAAGGTCCCTAACTAACCCGGAATGTCTCCTAAAATCATCACTTGGGCGGCGCATGACATGATGTTGTATCTTACCATTGTATTTTGTTTTGCTTTCTTTTCTTTTACCTCTCACCCAACTTTTTTGGGTGATTTTTGGGAATGATCTAAAATATCACCCACCCCCCGAATTCCTCTACCATCTCCAACCCCTCCCACGTCTCCCTCCACTCTCTCTCTCCCCTCTCTCATTACTGTACCATCTTTTTCTTTATTACTGTTTTACACACACGTAAGTAAGCCCATAAATACAAAAATATAAATGCATAATAGCATATTTTAGGGGATGTCTTATTTCCCAACTAAACAATAAGATTCTGAGAAATGTCCTTAACTCCTTGTTACCCCATGCTCTTCGGCACACTTGGTGCCCTAAAACATGAGTGGCTTCCTGTCAGATTAGAGATAAGATAAAGGCACCCGGCACCGGCAGTCCACTGGGTCTGTGTGCTATACAGTAATGTTCTGCTGTCATCTTCAGAGCTGACAAACGTTAAAGTTCAATCATTATTTCACAGTCGTCTCATTGGCCACGGGACCATGAAAGAACACCCAGTCTCTGCCACTCATCACTCATCTCCCACCACAGGGAACCTTGACTGTCCCTTCGCTCACTAAGTGCTCACCAGCACCTCTCTCTCTAAAAACGAGGGACACACGCCTCACGTCATGCCCAACAGCCTAAGAATGTGGTTCCCAACCACTGATTCCCTGATTGCTTCAGTGGGAAAATTTCCCATTTCCCCATAGACCAAGAGGAGAAATCCAGCGGAGCTACCTTCATTCTGAAAGCATTTCTGCAATGGATGATGGACCTTAAAGAATCTTCCAGAATAAACTGGTGACATTAATATATTCTGTGTCTGGGATGAAGGTGTACAATAGGGAATGTGATACTTGGCTGTCTCAAGCCTAAACTTACCTTGCTTTGCAAAAGCCTTCACTGTGTACCAATGCACAGACACCTAATGTCTTAGATCCTGGCCCTGCCCATAAATTCACTATTTGGTAAGCTATCGAGGCAAATGTTTTCATTTCAATTACATTTCCTAATTAAATCCCCTTGAAAAGAAAGTTAAGGCTGACCTTGGAAAACAGCTCAATGGGTGCAGCCACAGCACTCCAGTCTCTTAAGTACTGTTCCCAGGACCAGGTGTCCCCTGTAGTCACAGAAGGCTCTAAAAGAGAAAATACAGCACTGTCCTTGGAGCAATTCTTGATGGAACAAAAATAGGGCAAACTGTAACTGAAGATAAACTCAAAAGGCAGGCTGCTTAAGTTGGCGGTCAGAAGAACCACAACCAGGAAGGGCAATGTCTCTCACTTCCTGTACACAGTTGGGAACTCTCCCTCACCAGTGACTCTACACTGAGCTTTCTGTGTCAGGGTTGGTGCCTCATGTAACCTGCAGTTCCCATCTCAAAGACGCCAGCAGAGACAGCAAAGGGGTCTGCTCTACTTTCAGGCCAATGTTCGGGAGCCTTCTGATCCCCCCTTCTGCCTCCGCTGCCTTCTGGCGGGTGTCAGTTGGCATAAGCCTCAAAAGGCGATGTGACAAATGTGACGGTAATTGTCAACAGTCTATTTGTGGTTCTACTTTGGACACGGCCATTCTCCTTCTAGGAATTTATCTTAATGCACTCACAGTAGACCACCCAGGGGACAAAACACTGCATTTCTGTTAGTCGTCCACAAAGCAATGAAATACAGGAAATAAACTAAATGTCCCCCAAGTAGCTAATTAAACGTTTTTACATGGACACACCACTTATGGTATGCAAAGTAAACATCTAACTAGTACACTGAGGAAGAGGAAAGGGTTTGGAAAACAAAATTATATTTTGGTAAGTATGTGGTAGATTGAAAGTGAGATGAAGACCGTGGAAATCATATTTCACACACCAAGTCGTCTTTAGGTTCTAGGAGCATAAACAATTTAGTATTCCTCCTGCTTTCATTTTTCTGCTTTCCAAATTTTGTAGGTGAATATTTGATATAGAAGCTTACATTTTACATGATGAATATATATATATATATATATATATATATATATAGTGTGTGTGTGTATATATAATATACATATATACATATATATCACATATATATAATGATTCTGAGATCATCAAATCCTGTGTTTCTCTAATGAAATGCTTTGGTAATTAAATGTGTCATTAAGAAACTTAGAGATTAAGTGGTATATAGGATCCTTCATGTCCATATTTTTGCTATAGTATGATTTCATTTATGCATGCATTCTAAAGGGAATCAACCTCCGAATCAGAGAGCACAAAGGTGACAGCCAGAGCTCGAGAACAGGCGATGGAGAAAGGAGACAGGCTTGTCAATCAAGGGGCACGGTTTCAGTTATAACGGAAGGAATGAGTTTTAGGGACTTATCAGATAACATGGTGACTACAGTTAATAGATTATATACTTCAAGGCTGCTAAACACACACACACACACACACACACACAGAGAGAGAGAGAGAGAAATCTCCCGTGTTCTCACCTTTAAAAAATGGCAACTGTGTGAGGAGATAGACTCATTAATTATCTTCATTTAATCTTTCCACAATACCAACACATATCAAAGCACCCCGTTTAGGCCAGGGAGATAGTTCCGTTTTAAGTACTTGTCTCTCAAGCATGCAGACCCGAGTTTGATTCCTTGCACCCTTAACAGTCCCTGTAGAACCACAGGAGGCAGAGACAGTCAGATCCCTGAAGCTTACTGTACAGCATATGTAGGCAAACAGTGTTCTCTAAGTTCAGTAAAAGTCTCAAAGCGGAAGGTACAGAGCCACTGAGAAGACAACCAAGCTTGACCTCTCGCCTACACACACAGATGTGTCCACCTGCACATCCACTCACATGAGCACACACAGCTGTATATAAAAAAAAAGTTATTTTGTCCCCTAATAATGTGATGGGCAATTAAAAATAAAACAGAAAAACAAACATAGAAGGCGTGTGTATTACTAATGTAATCACATATTCATAAAACACCTTCTATGTGGAAGGCATTGCACATATATGTGTGCCAACAAATGCAAACGTTCATAGAAAAGAAATTGGAAAGAAACAGCAAAATATTAACAGCAGTTGTATTCAGCATTTTATAGTCAAGATACTCTACAATGATTATTACTTTCACACACACACACACACAAAATACACTTGGAGATACTGATCTGAAAGGACTGAATATTAAACGAACGTCCCAGAGGAAGGTGTGGATGGTAGAAGGCCAGCATTACATCTGCACTGGCAATGAGTGACATGGGAGAGGCCCCTCCTCCGAGCCCTGCATCTGAACTCTCCCAGGACAGTAGGATAACCTCATAGGACAACAGACAGCAACCACAGCATACGATGCAGCCATGACTCACACTGGCTTTTAATATTTAAATTTAAATCCTTTGTGAGCCTCCTACTTTACAAAGAGGAGCAACTTTTAAAGTGTGACCCAATGCCTGGTCCAGACGACGAAAAATGTGTAATATGTATGATTTTCCTTCAACACGCATGTACATTGGTGACAACAGAAGGAAATCATTTAAATGCAGGCAACTTTACAAGGCATGGAAGCTAACACCCTCTATCAGGCATAGTGTTAGCCTCTTGCTGCTAAGGAACACGCTGCTGGAGTATGAGAAGGCATTTCAGTCATCGAACGAAACTGACAGAGTTGTGACTGGCGGATTTCCTAGTTCTTCTAAAATACGAAGCCACCACAATGGAGCCCAAGTAGAAGCCTGTGGCTTCTTGGCCCATTACATTGCTAAAACCATCCCACCCACTGTCCAGAACTTTCTCCATTTACCATATACAGTCGAGATATCACAGAAATGCACACCTAATCATCAACAGTTATGTTCAACATCACTATAAAATTAAGTCTGCAGGCACAATAATAAACTCTGGCAGAGGTTTTGTGAATTTAATTAAGTTTGAAAGTCGAGTTTATACATATTTATAGCCAGAAGGTGTTAATATTTGTTGATCCAGTCAATCCTCATCCCAATATTTCATTCTAAAGTGTTTTAAAGGAATAAATACAGCCTTTACAATAGCACAAAACAGAGAAAATGAAAATATCCAAACATAAGTCTAAACAAGTATGGTTATGACAGGAACATAATTATCATTTTTGCAAATATTCATTAAATACAGTTGAACATAGTCCATTTGCATAATTCATTAGAAGTATGCGTGCTTACACATGAATAAAAGCCTGAAACAATGAAATACATATTGCATACAAAGGTGATGAGTACCATCAAACTGCATGGATCTGGCTGATAGAAAAATGAGCTCTTCCTTGTATTTAGTCAGCTGATTATACACACAGCTCCAGGGGTCAACATCCCACAACCAGGCACAAAGTGGTACGAACTGAAGACCACACCCTACAACATATATGGTCTAGTATCCTGTTGGTGAGGACACTGTGATGCTCTATGGCCCAGCATCCTGTTGGTGAGGACACTCTGTGTCCTCCATACATTGATTTTGGCATGCATTTACACACACACACACACACACACACACACACACACCAGGCAATCACAAAAATTTCTTAACATAAAAAGCATAGTTTGCTGTTTAAATGTGGACAAAGCCTTTGTAATTATTACAAAGCCTTTTGTAATTAGCCCTGTGAATTCTCCAAACCTTAAATTTCTTTTTGACTTACAAAGATGTCCTATTTAGAGTACAACACTCGTGGTCTGTGAGTAGAACTCTGGCTCCTCCATGCTCTGACATCCAAGCCTGGCTCCTGTCCACCTCACCACAGAGAGCACAGACTGTAAATGTAAAAGGGAAAGGGGCCTCTCACTCGGGCACACCTCTACTCATAGCAACTTTCTGAACTACACTGAAATATCAGGGGGTGAAGACTGAGGCCCGTGTCTCAGATCAGTCCCTCTCAGGCCCCGTTTGCCATCAGGAACATCTACTTTGTGCAATGTTTCATCTCTGTTCCTAAGGGACAGATGGCAACTCTTCATCGGAGAACACATGAAAAACAACTGGCCTTACCGTGAACCATCTTCCTGGTGCAATGTTCTACACAAGGGACCTGTCGTGGGAGGGACACGATGTCCCCACACAAACCACATCACTACCAGGTATGCAGCCCCTGAAACAGCATGCTGTCGCCTGCAGGTACCCTCTCCACAGTCTCAATTTAACACCTCTGTCATGTCCCTCCAGAAAGAACTTCTCCATGCTCCATCTACAATATCCTCCACTTGAACATCATATTCAGGCTGGACTTTTTTTTTTTTTCATTTCAGTCCTACTGAATTTAAAAAGTCATTCATCTCCCGGGGCCAAGCAGGTTTTGTGTGCTGTGAGATGCAGAGAATTTGACTCTTGTCCACATCTACCATGTTCTTGGGTGGGGATAGGCATGCCATAGCCAGATCACTATCACTCATGAATATCATACACACACACACACACACACACACACACACACGGGTCATGTGTGATGGTATGATGGAGAATGACACACACAGAATTAATTTGTAATAGTGAAGAAAACTCAAGCAGCGTAACTGGGAACAACACAAAAGGAGAATTCGTTCTCATCAGGAGAAATGCCTGGGAGGTCACCGCTCTCTAAGATGAGCCAATTTAGCCTGTAACCCGGTGGGGAGCAGTGTGCACCTACAGCAAGGCTGGAAAATAAGGAATGGCTTCTGCAGTACGAACATCTTGGCAGCGCTGAGCATAGAGTCTTCCTATAGGAGTCTTCAGGGCAGATGCTGGGTCACTGTACCTGAAGAAGAGGAAGACTATGCTCGATCAGAGTCGGCCGCAGGATTCCGACCTTTCCCCTTGTGGTTTCATTAGACAGTGGGAATTTCAAGGGCTTGAGACCAGCAGAACTTAGGAGTGAGCGCTAGGCAAGAATGGAATTATAGGGAGAGGGAAGACTGGTGGCAAAGAATGACAACGGGCAGGGACATGTAGGAAACATTCCAGAGGCATGCTACAGCCATAGCCAGCAATAGCCTATCGACAGGGTGGAGAGATGTGTAAGAATGTGTCGGAAGTCATGTTCTTTAAGAGGATAATTAATCCCTGGATATTGTCAGAAATGTAAATTTGGAGGCAAATTCGACACTTCAGGATAGATGATCAGATACTCTGTGTTGTCTGTCCAACA